ATAAGACGTGTATTGTGTGTATATGTTCCCAGTGTGTTTATGTTCTCAGTGTGTATATGTTCCTAGTGTGTATACTGTATGTTCCTAGTGTGTATATGCTCCCAGTGTGTATATGCTCCAACATCTGCCAATTAACCAGACAGTGGACTCAGATACGGCGGAAGCACATTTCACAGTTTTAAGATTGAAGAGTGACAACGAGGAAGTGTCTAATTGGAATGCCGCTCTCTTATCACAACTCTTTTAATTGATAACAGAGATGACATCCTCTGCATACTGATTATTTTACTTTAGTAGTCAAGGCCTTTAGTACATGTGATAAAGAGATTAATAGGAAGCTTAGAAAATCAGATTGGATCGTAATAGTAATGACTGTCCAACGAGATCTTTTCACTCTTAAATAGTTGCCCCGTATCATTTTATTAATTAGGTTCGTCTTCCCTTGATTTATTTATTTATTTATTTATTGCATTTTATTCTTAGTGTAAGTAATTTCTAATATTTATCTTTTTATTTAGTTCAGTAATATATTTTGTCATGATAACTTTCGGCACACGTGAACTTGCCTGCACAGTTTTTTGTATTAGTTATAAGTGATCTATTTGTTATTTTATACAAGTATCTTAGTTCCCATGTGTATTATTTCCCCAATGTTAACAATGTGGGAAACTAGATTATTGATTCACTAAGTTCAATTATGACTTAAGGGTAAATACAGGTTACAGTATGTGTCTGTATCTCCCGCCAGTACTGTTTATGATGTTCTCTTATTTCTTAACATGAAGTCTCTCTTTATCTTTCGTTATGTGATTTTTATATTTACCTTTTTACTAATTAGGTCAAAAGCAATTAACTTCGTAAAATATTTCCTACCTCTACCGTTGTTTTTTGTTTTTTTTTAGGTTTTATTATCAGTGATTTTCTAAATTAGTTTATTATCGGCACCAGTTTGTTAGTGGGCAACAGATTGGTTAGTAAGTATTCATTCTGTACCTTCTATGGGCCTTCATATTCTACCTGTGGGCGGTAACAAGACTGACTACGAATTGGTGGGATCATTTGAACATTACACTACCTACGGCACCTTCACCTATTGATTAATCTCCTTACCGCTACCTGGTGGGGTGGGTTAGGTTAGCATTAGGGTGTGTTTAATCATTAGGTGGAATAAGGTAAGGTGTGTAATCTTAACGTGATCCAATTGATCCTGAGTTGTATTAGTAAGGTGGTTATTAGTTTACACAGGAAAAGGGGATAAGGTTGGAAATTCCGTTAGTGGCTCCGTCATTCAGTCACGAAAAGCGTTCACAGAAATGTCAGACAAAACAGAAAATGCCATGACTTTCCCACCTGTCAAACACACCCCTTCCACAACTTTGTATAACTCCTCGAGTTACCCTGGTTTAGTTGGCCACGTGTTAGCTTGGTAGTGGCATGACAGACTTCCTCGAAGGCCGATTATTGACAACACCTCTGGAGCATGAATCATTGATCACCCCGTGTCGTGACTCGCTGTCGTAGAAGTAGATCCCTGGTGCTGGTGGCTGTGTTATCGACAAGATTGAGTCCACGGTTTGTTGGCAGGCGAACTGATTACGTCGTGGATACTGGTTATTCCTATGGACACTTATCAGTTCTTGTTGCTGAGTTCTCTGTACAAAACTCAATTCAGTGTTGTGTTTACGAGGTGTTGTCATGTTGTAGTCACGCTAAAATACTGCTGAGGTTTGAGGGTTGAGACGAAGAATGACAAGTCGTAATTGCTCACATTCGCCATCGACCTTTATTGATAGCGAGGTGAATTTACCGTCCAGGGAATGCTTCTGTGTTTGTTGTTATTGATGTCTCTCTATAACTATGCAGGTTTTTTTTTGGGAGAGAGAGAGAGAGAGAGAGAGAGAGAGAGCTCAGTAACGGGGAAAATAATAAGGGAGATGAAGACAGACAAGAAAGGAGTGGTAGAAGAAGACTGAAGCAACACTGGATACACATTTAATCTACCATACACAGTGAGATCTTCTTAACCCATTCATTAACAGCACTTGGTAACCATATTCACTGTTTATAACGTAGTGAAGTCATGAGGTTCGTTCTTGTTGTCACTACTAGAAACAATCAGTCTTAACATAACCTAACCTTACTCCCCCTTCTTGTAGTTATCTTTTCAACTCTGCTGCTATAAATCTTTTTGGCTAGTTTGTCACCTCTCACCTGTTTCTATCTGCTCAAACCATTTTACTGCGTAGTCATCCATTCGACTCCCCAGTGACTTTTATCTCAAATACTATTGGGTTTAAGTGAATGGACTGTACTTTCACTTGCCTCAGGTGTGGATCATTTAATGCATCATCTGATTTAAACCATAATGCTTTTTGACTCGCTACTCTTATAACCATGATTAAGATATTACCGTAGTCAAAATACCTTGGAAGTGAACAATTGGTATTTAAGGTAAAATACTAATGTGGGAAATAATTATTTTATTGATATATTTTCGTTTTATTAAATTACTTGGCGATTTACTTAGGTATTTTGATCGTCAATTGCATGTGTTCTATCGCTGGTGTTTTGGTTGAGAAGCGTTCCCAAGACCCTGGTATGAGATAATCATCGTTGACTATATTAATCTACAGTAATAAGATCATTAGTTCGTTATATATCCGGCCATGATAACGATTCGTGGGCAGGGTTTATATACGCCCGGATGATGTTTAAATTGGAGGTTATTTTTTTGTGCGTTAGTTAAAGGTGACCAGTTAGGTACATTCTTACATCATCACTTACGAGAACTATTCATAGTACGAACCTTTGCCAACCTGAACCCAGGACTGATTTCGTAACGTTGATCAGTTCTTATCTTACAACTATTTGAGCTAATGGAGATTGATTAAGCCTCCTGTGTGAGCCAATAATGTTGCGGGCAGCTGCACTGCTGGCGCTGATCTATTGTCTGTGGAAAGTAATGGTGTTTACTTCTTGGCCTTCACTCTGCTACACTACCACCACCACCACCATCATCGCTTCTCCGCCAATACCACCACCACCATCGCTCCTCCGCCGCCGCCGCCACCACAACCACCACCATCGCTGCTTCCTTCACCACTACCACAACACACCTCCATTCCTACCACCACTACCTCCGATATTTCCTCTAATAACTCCACCAAAGCCATCATCACCATCATCACTATCATCATTGTTTCCTCTTCCTCCTGGGTTCTTTGTCTCTCATACTATGTTGAGAAAACTTCCCTTCAATCGTTCACGCCCCACCTGCTTCTACCCCCCTCCATCCCGCTCCCTCCCTCCCTCCCTCCCTCGTTCCGGGTACATGCGGTTTTGTTACTTAAGTAGCTCAGAGCGTACATACGTAGTTCACCTTGATGCTCCTTTTATAATGTGGTGGAGGTGTAGGAGCTCTCTGACAGCCATTTTCTTACTGACAGGGGGACGTTTTTTTTTCCCACGCTCCCGGCCTGTTCATTCCTTGTGGTTCCACACTGCACCCCGACCTGCTCACACCACGGGGCTCCACACTGCACTCCTGACCTGCTTACACCACGGGGCTCCTTACTGTGCCCCCCGACCTGCTCACACCACGGGGCTCCACTGCACCGGCCTGCTCTGACAGGGCTCCTCCTGCTCACACCACGGGGCTTCCTGCACATTGCACCACGGGGTTCCTGTGCACCACCACAGGGGCTCCTCCTGCACCCTGACCTGCTCACCACGGGGCTCCACACTGCACCCCTGACCTGCTTACACCACAGGGCTCCTCACTGCACCCCGACCTGCTTACGCCACGGGGCTCCACACTGCACCCCCCGACCTGCCTTACACCACAGGGCTCTCCTGCACCCCCGACCTGTTCACACCAGGGGCTCACTGCACCCCTGACCTGCGCCTTACACCACGGGGCTCCTGCACCCCTGACCTGCTTACACCACGGGCTCCTCACTGCACCCCCGACTGCTCACCCACGGGTTCCTGTTGCACCCTTGACATGCTTGCCACCACAGGGCTCCTCCTGCACCCCTGACCTGCTCACACCACGGGAACTCCACACTGCCCCGACCTGCTCACACCACGGGCTCCTCCTGCACCCCTGACCTGCTTACACACCACAGGGCTCCACACTGCCCCTGACCTGCTCACACCACAGGGCTCCTCCTCTGCACCCCCCGACCTGCTTACCACAGGGCTCCTCCTGCACCCCATTATGCCCACCAGGGCTCCTCACTGCACCCCCGACCTGCTTACACCACAGGGCTCTCACTGCACCCCCATGCCCACCACAGGGATCCTCCTGCCCCCGACCTGCTTTCACGGGCTCCTCCTGCACCCTGACCTGCTCACACAGGGCCTCCTGCACCCCCGACCTGCTTACCACAGGGCTCCTCACCTGCACCCCCGACACTGCTCACACCACAGGGCTCCTCCTGCACCCCTGACCTGCTCACTCACCATGGGGCTCCTCACTGCACCCCGGCCTGCTCACACCACAGGGCTCCTCCTGCACCCCCCGACCTGCTCCTGCACGCCACACCACGGGCTCCTGGCCCCCCCGACCTGCTCACCCTGGGGCTCCTCACTGCCCCCCGGCCTGCTTACCACAGGGGCTCCTCCTGCACCCCTGACCTGCTTACACCACGGGGCTCCTCACTGACCTGCTCCCACCACGGGGCTCCTCACTGCACACCATGGGGCCTGCTCACCCCCCCGACTCTCCTTAGGGTTCCTCCTGCACCCCCAGGGTTCCTCACTGCTGCTCACCACAGGGGCTCCTCCACTGCACCCCTGACCTGCTCACACCACAGGGCTCCTCACTGCACCCCCTGACCTGCTCACACCACAGGGCTCCTCACTAACCCCCCGACCTGCTCACACCACAGGGCTCACTCCTCACCCCCGACCTGCCTCACCGCAGGCTCCTCCCACTGCACTCCCTGACCTGCTTACACCACGGGGCTCCTCACTGCACCCCCCGACTTGCTCACACCATGGGGCTCCTCACTGCCCCCCCGGCCTGCTCACACCTGCAGGGGCTCCTCACTGACCCCCGACCTGCTCTCACCACAGGGCTCCTCCTGCACCCCACACTCACAGGGGCTCTCACTGACCCCCGACCTGCTCACACCACGGGGGTCTTCACTGCCTCCCGACCTGCTCACACGGGGCTCCTCACTGCACCCCCGACCTGCCCACCACGGGGCTGCTCACTGACCCCCGACCTGCTCACACCGTGCTCACACTGCACCTGCTCTCACCACAGGCTCTCACTGACCCCGACCTGCTCACACCACGGGGCTCCTCACTGGCCCCCGACCTGCTCACACCACGGGGCTCCTCACTGCACCCCCAGACCTGCTCCACCACAGGGCTCCTCAGTGCCCCCCGACTTGCCACCATGGGGCTCCTCACTGCCCCCGACCTGCTCACACCACAGGGCTCCTCCTGCACCCTGACCTGCTTACACCATGGGGCTCCTCCTGCACCCCTGACCTGCTTACACCATGGGGCTCTCCACTGCACCCCGACTTGCCTCACACCACTTGGGGCTCCTCACTGTACCCCCGACCTGCTCACACCACAGGGCTCCTCACTGCCCCCCCGACCTGCTCACACCACAGGGCTCCTCCTGCACCCCTGACCTGCTCACACCACAGGGAAGCCTCTAACACCTGACTTGCTCATGGGGCTCCTCCTGCACCCCCGACCTGCTCACCACAGGGCTCCTCACTGCCCCCTGAGCCTGCTCCACCGGGGCTCCTCACTGCCCCCTGACCTGCACCACAGGGGCACCCCTGACCTGTTTACACCACGGGGCTCCCCTCCTGCACCCCCCGGCTTGCTCACCACGGGGCTCTCCTGACCCCCCGACCTGCTCACTTGCCTGCTGACCCCCGGCCTGCTCACACCACAGGCCTCACTGACCCCCGACCTGCTCACACCACGGGCTACTCCTGACCCCCGGCCTGCCCACCACGGGGCTACTCACTGACCCCCCGACCTGCTCACACCACGGGGCTACTCACTGACCCCCCGACTTGCTCACACCATGGGGCTCCTCACTGCACCCCCCGACCTGCTCACACCACGGGGCTCTTCATTGCACCCGCCAAGCAATCCACACGAACGCAGCTGTTGACTGATTCTTCTTGATTACCTTACTCTGATTTAGGTAGACGGTCGGGTTTTTTGTGTGTTAAAATTAAATAATGAGTGTTTGAGCTTGGTCGCTATTCATGATCGATAATTGTATTCTATTTACCACTTTCCATTTACCATTGACTGTAATTTACCACTTCTCTCTGGCACTGTATTTACTCCGTCTACAATACGCCAATGTTTTGCTGAGAGACAAAACAGAAAATTGCTCCGGGTGAGAACAAGGCGAGCTTAAAAGGCGGGTTGATGTGTTTTGACATGTTAATATTCTTGTTCCCATAATTCTTCAACTTTGACTGTGTTATTCTTTCTTTCTTTATTTATTTATTTATTTATTTATTTACTCTTATTTTCTTGTTTCCTCTCATTATTTACTGTTTTCCTTTTTCAATTAATTTTCTCTTTTTCTTTGATGTAAATAATCTAGATTTTTTCCCTTCTTCTTGAATCAAACTCATGTATTTACGCTTATAAGACATTAAATGGCTATGGCTTACACTGAGGCCGTGGTGACGAAATTTATACCTTCAGTGCCGTGATTAATGGTTGTAAATACCAGTCATTGTTGTGGTGATTAGCATCGGTTAGGGGCGAATGTCCAAGTAGGTCGCTCATTGGTCTCACGTACTGGGTCAGCAGACAGGTGAATCAGGGTAAGTGGGTAGAAAAATATAAACAAAAAAATAATGTCAGCGGAATTATATTTTCTCGGTAGACGGAAAATCAGTGCACGCTATATAAAGTAAACATTGCTCATAGACAGGAAGAATAAGAGATAGGAAACAGAAAAAGCAGACTATAGAGAAATACTGAGTAGACAGAAGCAATAATATCAGCATACAAAGACGGGCTTAAGACGAGTTCAAGACGAGTTCAACGTGGCCATCTCATCTTCACAATCTCCGCAGTTTTAGATGTGTTGAAGTGTGGCCTCAGAAGCTTCGACTCACAACACACCTTGTTTACCTGGAGGGACTATACTCTTACTCCCAGCTGTGACTGTCAGACGGTCAGCCACATAACTTTCTCCTCTGTGTGTGTGTAGAGATGATAGTGGTAAGTGTGTTAGGTTTTATCGTGGTTTCCTGAGCAGCTGATGGTACAGTATTGTTGCTGCTGCTGTTATTTTTGTTGCTGATGTTATTGTTGTTCTCATCGCTATTTATTCCCTCTTCATTATATCATTATTTCGTGTTTCGATTTACGTTTCACTTTGGTCGTTGTGAGTGAAGTGCGTTACGTTTCTATATCCAGCTCTTCTTCCTCTGCTTCTCTTCGACATATTAACACTACTCGACATCATGGTGGGTGGGTCGATTGCTGTACAAATTATAGTCAGGATTGGTGGCTCTGTCGTCGAATATAATAACATTGACCTGCCCAGTGTTTGCCTAGTATTTTCTCTAAGGTCAGCATATTTTGGAAACAATATATGACACTTTGGTACGTAATGAAACCGTGTGGCCGGTACTGCACCTTACTGTCTTTAACTTTCTCAGCTGTAAAGTTAGGTACCAATTCTGCAGCTGCCGGAAGCGGGACTCGAACTGGTGACTATCCACTTGCGCATGATAAGTAAACTGTTCTATTCGCTCTCTTTGTGCACTGTTGTGTGTGTGTGTGTGTGTGTGTGTGTGTGTGTGTGTGTGTGTGTGTGTGTGTGTGTGTGTGTGTGTGTGTGTGTGTGTGTGTGTGTGTGTGTGTGTGTGTGTGTGTGTGTGTGTGTGTGTGTGTGTGTGTGTGTGTGTGTGTGTGTGTGTGTGTGTGTGTGTGTGTGTGTGTGTGTGTGTGTGTGTGTGTGTGTGTGTGTGTGTGTGTGTGTGTGTGTGTGTGTGTGTGTGTGTGTGTGTGTGTGTGTGTGTGTGTGTGTGTGTGTGTGTGTGTGTGTGTGTGTGTGTGTGTGTGTGTGTGTGTGTGTGTGTGTGTGTGTGTGTGTGTGTGTGTGTGTGTGTGTGTGTGTGTGTGTGTGTGTGTGTGTGTGTGTGTGTGTGTGTGTGTGTGTGTGTGTGTGTGTGTGTGTGTGTGTGTGTGTGTGTGTGTGTGTGTGTGTGTGTGTGTGTGTGTGTGTGTGTGTGTGTGTGTGTGTGTGTGTGTGTGTGTGTGTGTGTGTGTGTGTGTGTGTGTGTGTGTGTGTGTGTGTGTGTGTGTGTGTGTGTGTGTGTGTGTGTGTGTGTGTGTGTGTGTGTGTGTGTGTGTGTGTGTGTGTGTGTGTGTGTGTGTGTGTGTGTGTGTGTGTGTGTGTGTTTTGAGATCTTAGAACTGTTATCTGCGGCAGTGTCGTCAGTAGGGTTGGGTTAGTGGTGGGCACTGGGCAGTCTCTTCATGATATAATATCCCTTGCGTCATGTTGAAGGATTTCGTCGTATCCTCACGTATCCTGCGGCACACTGTTCGTGGTATCTTCAGCCTCCTTAAACAGTCCTTGTAACTCGATTTTTTTTTCTTGTCCAGTTATCGTTTTCGTTGCATTTATTTTTATTTTTAATGTTGTTGCAAATGAGTGAAGAGTTTACAATGTCACGAACTTATTTTCTTTTAGTGTGTGTGTGTGTGTGTGTGTGTGTGTGTGTGTGTGTGTGTCATCTGACTTTCTTAAAATAAAAATTATTCGAACTTTTTTTTTCTGCATCCTAAAGTCACCAGGTGGGCTGATGAGATGTAGACTGGTTCTGGTTCCTGTGATAGTTCACCAGGTGTACCGAGGGGCCAAGACAAGACTCACTCACTTCATCAGCGTCATCCTCAAGTTACCCACGCTTATGTTTGTTCAAGCTTATAGTGAGGTTAGGACTGGTACGCTGGGGTTAGGTTAGGTTAAGTGAGGCAGACATTTTAGTATGACATTAATGGTGTGACACGATACAATTATTATTAGTAATGTTCATCTAAAAATACACATGATGGAAGTGTGATTATAAAATCATTTAAGAATTCATCAAGACCTTTCCATGGTAACCGACAATGAAAGACTGAGATCACTATTTGAGAAGTACCCCCCCCCCCAACGCACACTATACAGGCTTTTGTTACTGCCACAATACCTTCTGTTGGTTCATCACACTCATCACTTTTTTCTTATCCCAGGTGAGTCACTACAGTAATCCCAGTTGTTGATCTCGATGACAAATCAATGTGTTTTCTTTTTTCCAGGTGAGTACAAGACGTGACCGTAATCCAAGGTAGCCAAATAAAGGTAAAGTGCTGGCATAGGTTGACGTAGCCCAGCCGTATATTAAATGATCCGAAATGTCCTTCAAACACTGCTTCGATTATGTTTTTGATAAGTAGGATATTTTGAACACGTAGAGTTTCGGTTAAATTTGGACATTATTCTTATGTCAATTCTCTATCGTAGCTAATTTAAAGTTTGCACGTTAGATACAGAATGAAAAAAAAATGAATTAAAGGAAAAAAAAATGGATCTTTATAGAAACTGGGGTAATGGGGTGTGAGTTATACAAGCACAGGGGTGGATGGTGTTGCTCGCAGTGCCTCCTGTTGTTAGGGCTCGCCGCGTGTGTTGAGAATGTAAGCACTGCCTAGTTGAATAGTCGATTGGCCATGTTGATAAAGAATCGTTATATGTGTTGCTTTATGTGTTGTGTCGCAACACTCCTTTATTTAAAACATTCTTGATGGTTTTTTTGGAAACTTGTGCCTCCTGCTGTTGTCTCTCTCTCTCTCTCTCTCTCTCTCTCTCTCTCTCTCTCTCTCTCTCTCTCTCTCTCTCTCTCTCTCTTTTGTTGGCACGTCTCTGATCTTCTCCTCCTCCCTAGTCTTTATAACTTCGTCTCTCCCTCTTTTCATTTTCTCTAGTTCTCCTTTCTTTTCCTCCTCATATTTTCCTTTCTCTTCTCTCACCTTTTTCCTTCTCCTTCTCCTCTTCCTCCTTATCTCTCTCCTTCCCATCATCCTTGCTGGTGCTAATCACTCCTCGTCATCTGGGTTGAGTATTTTGATGTGCTGTCAAGAATGTCCTCAGCAAGTCCCTGACCTGCCAAGCTACCATAATGATGACTCACTCTTTCCTCCGAGGGTTGTGTCTGGCTGTTTAAAGGTTCGCAGTTGTGTTGTCTTGGCCGTCATCCCTCACACGGTAACGTTATTGTAAATCTTCAAACAGATTGACTTTATACACGGCATAAATTTAACCTTGGGTAGTAGTGTAACATGTTGCTCGCGGTATCACTTTGGAATGGGTTTTCTTGTTTTTGCCACGATTTTTGTCAAAGGGTAAAACTCACTCGCTTGCCATCAGATCACGTGGGTGTCAAGAAAGGCTTTTATAACTTAAGGG